ATAAAAACATATTTAGCATTTATATTGGAGAAATTCTAAATGTTTTAGAGCTGACAACAAAAATAGTTAGTTGTGAAAGACAGTGACGTAGGGTTCCCTTGCCAGCTGTTAAAACTTTCTACAAAGCTAATATAATAATTTTAAAACTGTGTGATTTTAGCTTATAAATAAGTGTACAGATCAGAAGACCAGAAAGTCAAAAAAATCTGGTATATATTCACATTTAATACGTGATAAAGATGGCATTTTAGTTCAGTGGGAGAGAAAATGGTTTATTTAATTATGCTACTAACATAATTGGTTACTGATCTGGAAAATAATACCTCCAGCCATGAATAAAAGCATTATGAATGAATTAACCTTAAATGAAAAATTAAACAAAAGATAATAGAATAAAAAAAATCTAAAAAAATCTGAAACCCAAAACACTTCTGGTCCCAAGCTTTTTCAGTAAAGGATACTCAACCTGTATAAGGTCATGGTTCAGAATTCAAGAAAAAAAAAAAAAGATTAACAGTGAAAAATCTCCCTCATTTTCCTATTAGAAATCCAATTCCCTTCCCTGTGTTAATGTTTTGATTTAATCCTTCCAGAGATACTGGAAAAGTAAGAAATAAATATGTATGTGTGCATAGACCTATTGTTGTCCTTTTTTCTCCCAGATAAGGTAGCAAAACAGGCCTATTCTTTAATAACTTGCTTTTTTTAACTAGAGATTATTCCATATCTATTCATAAAGAATTATTATTTTTAATAGATGTTTCCTCATGTAATTAAACATTTTCTGAAACCATTTTTTTAAGGTTGCATAGAATTCTATCATATTGATATATTGATACACTTTATTTACATATACCTATATTGATGGACATTTGCTTCTGATTTTTCACTCTTTTTTTTTTTTTTTTTTGAGACGGAGTTTCACTCATGTTACCCAGGCTGGAGTGCAATGGCGCAATCTCGGCTCACCGCAACCTCCACCTCCTGGGTTCAGGCAATTCTCCTGCCTCAGCCTCCTGAGTAGCTGGGATTACAGGCATGTGCCACCATGCCCAGCTAATTTTTTGTATTTTTAGTAGAGACGGGGTTTCACCATGTTGACCAAGATGGTCTCGATCTCTTGACCTCAAGTGATCCGCCCACCTTGGCCTCCCAAAGTGCTGGGATTACAGGCTTGAGCCACCGCGCCCGGCCGATTTTTCACTCTTATAAATAACATTGATTATAAATAACTAAATATTCTTTGTTGTTGTTTTGTTGTTGTTGTTGTTGTTGAGACGGAGTTTCCCTCTTGTAGGCCAGGCTGGAGTGCAATGGCATGATCTCAGCTCACTGCCACCTCCCCTCCTGGGTTCAAGCGATTCTCCTGTCTCAGCCTCCTGAGAAGCTGGGATTACAGGCACGTGGCACCATGTCTGGCTAATTTTTATATTTTTAGGAGAGATGGGGTTTCTCCATGTTGGCCAGGCTGGTCTCGAACTCCTGACCTCAAGTGATCCGCCCACCTCGGCCTCCCAAAGTGCTAGGATTACAGGTGTGGGCCACCGTGCCCGGCTGAATATTCTTATTCAATGGTCTTGTGCATCTGTTAATATTTCTTTAAAATCAGTAACCAGAAGTGAAACTACTATGTCAAAAGACATAAACTTATTACCAAATTGTCCTCCAGAAATGTACCAGTTTCTACCATCAAATTTTCTACATCATGAAAATTTAGTTTCTACATCAAATTTTCTGCATGTTTTCTATATCGTGAAATTGTATTTTCTTTTTAATTTGCATTTTATACCTATATAGGTGATTCTAATTTTTTTTTTTAAACTTTTACTTCATGTCTGTTCTTGTTATTTGCCACTTTTTTGGTTAGGATAGTCGTCCTTTTATTGATTTGTAAACACTCTTTATATATCAGGATTATTAAGGTTTTGTCTGTCAATAAATATCAAATGAAGCCTGAGTTCTAGTCATGCTTGTGCCCAAGACTTGTATGATTTTGCCCCATGATGCAGCCCTCAGTGTTCCAAGCTGTGAATATTGTGACCTCTGAGGCCACTTTCTTACTGTGAAATATCTACATCCTTTAACCTTTCAGGCGCCAGGAACTCAGAGAGCTTCGGCTGCTCCAGAAAGAAGAGCATCGGAACCAGACCCAGCTGAGTAACAAGCATGAGCTGCAACTGGAGCAAATGCACAAACGTTTTGAACAGGAAATCAACGTGAGTGCGAGAAAAGATGGGTCCCTGGAGGGCTTCTTGCCTCCATGTGTTCTCTCAGTGGAAGTTACAAAGCAGGAATGATTGGGTCCTGGAGAGTAATTCACATCAATTGCCCAATTCCTGGGGTTTCCCCATCTTGTTAGGCAATGACTTGTTAACACAGAATCCCATGAAGGTCCCAGTGATCCTGAGTCCCACAGGAGGATCTCCAGAGGGAAAATAACCTTTACTGAGCACCATGCAACAACACATGGTCTGGTCTCCCCTTTGCCGATGAGGAAACGGAGACTCAGGTTAAGTAGCTTGCCCCAGGTCACGCAGCAAGGAGGTGGTGGAGCTGCGATTCAAACCTAGGTCTGAGCACAAGCTCTGAGTTCTCCCTGTTCCACTCCCCATTATCTCTCCCAGGTATAAAGGGACTTTGCTGAATTTCTGCTCTTTTTAGGCCAAGAAGAAGTTCTTTGACACAGAATTAGAGAACCTGGAGCGTCAGCAAAAGCAGCAAGTGGAGAAGATGGAGCAAGACCATGCCGTGCGCCGCCGGGAGGAGGCCAAGCGGATCCGCCTGGAGCAGGATCGGGACTACGCCAAGTTCCAAGAGCAGCTCAAACTGATGAAGAAAGAGGTGAGTTTGTGCTGGGTTGGGGCAGGGGCATCTTGGAGAATTAGGGGTTTCTTGGTTGCAAGAGATCAAGGCTCCAGCTCAATCTCACCTTGGTGACAGAGGGTTATGGCTGAAGAGCTCGGGAGCTGGCGAGCCTGGATCTGTGTCCCCCAGCTGCTCCATGAGGAGACACTTCTCCATCTTCTGAACTCTTGTTTTCCTCTGTGCTGCTGTGGCTCAGGGCAGGCCCTCACCATGTGGCCTCAGGCAGCTTCTTTTACATTCTCTCAGCCTAGCAACCCGGAGAAACAGCAGGGAAGAAGGAAGGGCTGGTGGCCCCGGGGAATTTGAGATGCTGTTCCCAGAAGGGCGAGTGGGTGCTGGGTGGGTGGGCACAGACATCATGTCCGATACGCTCCCCACTCTCTGCCTCCTCCTTCTGCCCCTGTTGGAAGAGGAAGGGGAGGGTAGAAGGAGGTGGGTGGTCCTGAGGCACATCTCTCAGGCTGCTGGGTGTCAAAGAACAGCCCATGCCTCCCTCTGTGGAGCGATACCGGGAAGCCAGGACACTCTGACCTAGATACCCTCAAGGAAGGAAGGAGACAAGTAGGCTGGACGTCCCCAGGACAGGAACACCAGTCCAGGCTGTTCCCAGTCTCCAACTGGGAGCAGTGGGTAAGCAGCCTCTCTAGGGGTCTCGGAGCCGAGATTCCAGACTTCACCATGGTGGGCATGACATTCAGGGCATCCCAGGGGCTTGGACAGCTGCCTGTGGGAGCCAGGGCTCCTGGCCAGCTGAGCAGGCGAGGCAGTCACCTTAGGCACAAATGTACCTCGGAGATACCATGGGTTTGGTTCCATATCACCACAATAAAGCAAATACTGCAATAAAGCCAGTCCCTAATAATCAGTAAACTATGCTATACACAGATGTGCTGTCACCCAGGCTTTGTGGCTCCTTTTTAGAGCACAGGCAGAGTAGATTTAGCATGATTCTTTTTTTATTTTTATTTTTTGAGACAGGGTCTTGCTCTGTTGCGCAGGCTGGAATGCAGTGTTGCGATCTCCGCTCACTGCAATCTCTGCCTCCGAGGTTCAAGCGATTCTTATACCTCAGCCTCCTGAGTAACTGGGACTATAGGCACGTGCCACCATGCCCAGCTAATTTTTGTATTTTTAGTAGAGACACGGTTTCACCATATTGGCCAGGATGGTCTCAAACTCCCGACCTCGTGATCCACCCTCCTCAGCCTCCAAAAGTGCTGGGATTACAGGCATGCGCTACCCCACCCAGTTTAGGATGATTCTTAAGGGCCCTGGGATTTTCAAAATAGTAAATGAGGCCGGGCACGGTGGCTCACGCCAATAATCCCAGCACTTTGGGAGGTGGAGGTGGGCGGATCACGAGGTCAAGAGATCGAGACCTTCCTGGCCAACATGGTGAAACCTCGTCTCTACTAAAAATACAAAAATTAGCCGGGCGTGGTGGCACGCACCTCTGGTCCCAGCTATTCGGGAGGCTGAGGCGGAAGAATTGCTTGAACCCAGGAGGCGGAGGTTGCAGTGAGCCGAGATTGCGCCACTACACTCCAGCCTGGAGACAGAGTAAGACTCCGTCTTAAAAAAAAAAAAAAAAAAAAAAATCAAAATAGTGAATGAGCATTGGTTTCAACTTCAAGTCACCATCAGCATTAACACCTAACAAGAGAGTCAGCCTGTCCTTTGAAGCTTTGAAGCCAGGCATTGACTTCTCTGTAGCTATGAGAGTCCTAAGTAGCACCTTCTACAACAGAAAGCTGTTTCATCTACATTGAAAGTCTGTTGTTTAGTGCAGCCACTTTCTTCGATGATCTTAGCTAGATCTTCATGATAACTCACTGCAGCTTCTCCATCCGCGCTTGTAGCTTCACCTTGCACTTTCATGTTATGGAGATGGCCTCTTTCTGTAAACCTCATGAACCAACCTCTGCCAGCTTCCAGCCTTCCTTCTGCAGCCTCCTCCCCTCTCTCAGCCTTCACAGAAGACAAGAGAGTTAGGGTTGTGTCCTGGATTAGGCTTTGGGGTAAGGGAATGTTGTAGCTGGTTTGATCTTCCACCCAGACCACTCAGACTTTCTCTACCTCAGCTTAGGTTGCTTTGCTTTCTCATCATCATTCGTGTTCCTTGGAGTGGCACGTTCCTTTCAAGAGCTTTTCCTTTGTATTCACAACTTGGCTAACCGTCTGGTGTGGGTGGCCTAGCTTTTGACCTAGCAAATTTTCTCCATGCCATCCTCACTAAGCTTCATCATTTCTACCTTTTTTTTTTTTTTTTTTTTTTTTGGAGACGGAGTTTTGCTCTTGTTACCCAGGCTGGAGTGCAATGGCGCGATCTCGGCTCACCGCAACCTCCGCCTCCTGGGTTCAAGCAATTCTCCTGCCTCAGCCTCCTGAGTCGCTGGGATTACAGGCATGCACCACCATGCCCAGCTAATTTTTTGTACTTTTAGTAGAGACGGGGTTTCACCATGTTGACCAGGATGGTCTCGATCTCTTGACCTCGTGATCCACCCGCCTCGGCCTCCCAAAGTGCTGGGATTACAGGCGTGAGCCACCGCGCCCGGCCCATTTCTACCTTTTGATTTAAAGTGAGAGACATGCATCTCCTACTTTCACATGGACAGTTAGAAGCCATTGTTGGGATATTAATTGACCTAATTTTAATATCGTTTTGTCTCAGAGAATAAGGAGGCCCAAGGAGAGGGGAAGAGACGGGAAAGGCCATCTGTGGAGCAGTCAGAACACCTCCCAACATTTATCGATTAAGTTCACTGTCCTATATGGGCTCGTAGCGCCCTAAAACAATTACAGTAGTAACATCAGAGGTCACTGATCGCAGATCGCCATAATAGAGATAATAATAATGAAAACATGCGCAATATTGCGAGATTTACCAAAATGTGGACAGATGTGAGTACATGCTTTTGGAAAAATGTCGCTGATAGACATGCTCGACACCAAATTGCCAAAAACCTTCAATTTGTAAGAATTACAGTATCTGCAAAGTGGAATAAAGTGAAGCATGATAAAATGAGGTCTGCCCCCACAACATTTCACAGGGCCTGAAAACTGAGTCATCACGATACAGAATATTTTAATGCAATGTTTTATAGTAAAAATGCCAAAAATTCGTAATGAACAGATATCAGCTATTAGAATAAAGACAGGATCTGTCAAGGCCAAGATTAGGGTGAGGCAATGAGGCTGGGTGCCCCAGGCACAGGCCTGGATCCTGTCTTTATTTAAAATTTTGATATTTTGTCCATGATTTTTTTTGCATGAACTGAGGTGTTTTTTGTTTTGTTTTGTTTTTAATGTTATTTATCTTGATTACTGAATTTTTGTCAGTCCTTTAAATTTTGTCCTGGGGTGAGTGCCTGCCTCACTGGCCTCCCCATGGTCCTGGCCAGCTGCAGAGATATGGGCACGTAGGCTGGGAGTGCATGGGGGCAGAGAGGAGAAGCTGACCCTAAGCACATCCAGCTCCTGTGCAGAGAGCACAGACTTGGGAGTCAGGTTTTCGAGCCTTGGCTCTTTGGCTTGCTGGCTGTTTGGCTTTGGACAAGTCATTTCCCTGAGTCCCGGTTGCTTTCTGTCAAAATGAGTTATTCAGCAACTGTTTTGCTGAGGGTCTGCATGTGTGGCACTGTGCTGGCTGCCAGGAATACTGCAGTAACAAAATAGATAGGGTCTCCGCCCTCAAAGATCTGTTAATTTCCAGAGAAGCCAGACAAACAAAAAGTCCAATATTGAATAAATAAAACAGTTGCCAACATGCTAGGGAAGCATATATACTGGCTGGCTAGCGATCTGGAGAGATCTGCTTTAGATGGGTCTGGGAAGGCCTCTCAGCATATGATGTGTGAGCTGAGATCAGAAAGATGTTGGCAGGCATAAGAACCGTCCAGGAGGGTGGGACAGCACATGCAAAGGCCCTGAGGTATGGGAAAGAGCTTGGAGTGTTCAAAGAGCTGGGAAACCATCTGTGTAGCAGGAGCTCAGGAAGCAAAGGGGAGAATAGCACAAGATGGAATCAGACAGGTAGACAGAGGCCAGCTCACATACAGCAATGGGCCACAGGCAGGAGTGTGCTAATTAATAATACTGTTAACATCTAGTTCTTACATAGATGTTTTAGCATTCATTAAATGAGAAGTACATTCAGAGTTAGACCCAGTATCTTCTCAGAATAAGAGCTGGGTAGGTGCCCATTCTCTCCTTGGCTCTGCGCCCTGTCACATGTGCACACCTCGTGTGTGTGTGTGTGTGTGTGTGTGTGTGTGTGTAAGGACTTAAAAGTGGAAAAGGGAGGACATGACAGAAGAGGTTGCCTAGTTTAGGAGGGGGTGGGGGAAGCCACAGAGCTCTTCCCCCTTTCCCAGAACTTGCCCTTAACGAAGTTGGACTTCCTCACCAGCAGGGTCCCAGGAGGACCCTCAAGCCTGCCACTGAACGCTGAGGCAGAACGTGAGATCTGGCACCTAAGGTTCTGCTCACGTTCAGTTTTTAAAAATTTCTTTTTCTATGATGTTTTTCTTCAAGAAGTTTTCATGGAAAGAGAAACCTTAACTTCTTTGCTCTTTTGGCTTTTTTGTTTGTTGTTGCTAATGATGCGGCTGGAGTGCAGTGGTGCAATCACAGGTCACTGCAGCCTTGAACTCCCGGGCTCAAGTGATCCTCCTGCCTCAGCCTCCTGAATATTTGGTACCCTTCTAATTTTTTAAAACAAGTTTTGTAGGAATAGGGGTCTCACTTATTTGCCCAGGCTGGTCTTGAATTCCTGGCCTCAAGTGATCCTCCTGCCTCGGCCACTCAAAGTGTTGAGATTACAGGCATGAGCCATGGCGCCCAGCCTCTTTTGGCTTGTTGAAGAGGGTAAGGCTCACACCATTTAGTAAGATGGTGTCCTATTTACTCATCTTTTGTGTAGGCACACTGCTTGCTTTGATTCTGCAACTTGCTTATATAACAGAGAGCGATGGCAGGAGGCCAGTGAGAGGCTTTGCCCCATGGCACCCCCAGATATCCCAGATGGCACTGTCCTGCCATTGCCTACTCTGCACTCCTAAGACCTCCTTCTCTGATTCCAAAGGTCCCCTCTGTGAGAGCTGCAAGGTGCTAGGTGAGGAAGTAGGAATTCTAAGTAGGAATGAGAGGTCTCGCCCATTGCCTTTGACGTAGTGGTCAGGATGCAGCAGCAGGAGTGAAGGGCAAAATTGGAAGGGATGAGACCACCCCAGATGAGCAGCCTCTGCACTACCCACAGGTGCATCAGCCATTCCAGTGCTGCAACAGAGTAATCCACACGTGGATGCTGGAGAGGGAGACCATACACAGATGCATGCCATAGGCACTTTCCTTTAACCAGCTCAGAGCAGGGAAGAGTATACCCTGTCCATTTCCCTCTGATCTATTCAGTGTGAGACAGCATGTCATAATTTAAATTCAGGCATGGAAAACACACACTAAAAACAAAACAAAACAAACAAAAAAAAACAATAAAATTTGAGAAGCCTCCTGGGACCCTTTTCAGGATTATAGCAATTGGTATGGAATATTTATCATGCTAATCACTTTTCAATGAGGAGGTATGCAAATAGGAAAAATAATTATTAGCAAGGCAGTTGACCTATTTATCCTTCGTGTCAATTTCAAGTAATTTACATCTTCCTGCATATGTGTATATATGCATATACATATATTAATGTGGATACATTCTCACAGTTCTGTAAGAAGGGACTTGATTGTTCTGTAAGAAGGGTCTGCTACTCAGTTCCTGTATACACAGTAATCTTTAGCATCCATGAAAAACTGGCTTGACAGTTGTAACTTCAAAAATAATAATAACAGTGAACCTAACCCACACTTATGTCACAATGAACTCAAAATAGATTATATATCAAAATATAAAACCTAAAATTATAAAACTCCTAAAGCATGTGACCTTGGGTTAGGCAAAGATTTCTTGGATATACCACTAAAAGCATAATCCCTAAAAGAAAAGATGATAAAACAGTTGCTGGAATAAATAGACACCCATAAGGAATAATAATAATAGTTATAGCAATAGTAATGTTAATTTTACTGACCCTGTCAAAGAACCAGCTTTTGGTTTCATTGATTTTTCTCTTTTCAATGTTGTGGGTTTCTGGTTTTATATTAGGCTTGGGTTTAAGTTGCATCTCTTTTTATAGTTTCTTAATGTAGAGGCTCATTTAGAACATTGATTTGAGACTATTCTTTTCTTTAAGCACTCAGTGCTGTAAATTTTGCTTAATGCTATAAATGGAGCACTGCCTCAGCTTCATTACACAAATCTTTATATGTTGCATTTTCATTTTTATTCAATACCAATTACTTTTTAGTTTCCTTCGCAACTTCCTCTTTGACCCAGGTTATTGAAAAACTTGTTAATTTTAAAATGTTTTGGGGCTTTCATATCTTTCATTTATTGTTTTTTAGTTTGATTTCATTATGATCAAATAACGTGTGTGTGTGTGTGTGTGTGTGTTATTTTTTTTTTTTTCTTTTTTTTTGAGAATAGTTTTGCTCTTCTCACCCAGGCTGGAGTGCAATTGGGTGATCTCAGCTCAATGCAACCTCCGCCTCCTGGCTTCAAGCGATTCTTCTGCCTCAGCCCTCCAAGTAGCTGGGATTACAGGAACCCACCACCATGCCCAGCTAATTTTTGTATTTTTAGTACAGATGAGGTTTCACCTTTGGCCAGGCTGGTCTCAAACTCCTGACCTCAGGTGATCCACCGACCTTGGCCTCCCAAAGTGCTGGGATTACAGGCATGAGCCACTGTGCCCGGCTCGTATATTTTTTAAGATTTTAATTTTTCAAAATGTATGGCTTGTTTTGTGGTCCAGGATATGATCTGTGTTACCGAGCGATATGCACTTGAAAAGGATGTGTATTCTGCTGTTGTTGTGTGGAATATTCTATAAATGTCAAGTAGGTCAAGTTAATTGATAGTATTGTTCAGGTCTTCCATATTCTTACTGATTTTCTGACGACTTGTTCTACTGGCTACTGAGAAAGGAATGTTAATGTCCCCAACTGTAATTGTGGACTTATCTATTTGTTATTCAGTTCTGTCAGCTTTTGTTTCAAGTTTTTGAAATTATTTTGCTATTTTAAATAGTCACATTTTCTTTTATGTATTTGTTTATTTTCTTTGCAATGAAAGTCTCACTATGTTTCCCAGACTGCTCTCAAACTCCTGGGCTCAAGTGATCCTCCTCAGCCTCCTAGTCTCTACCTAAGACTAAAATGGTCATCTTTTCTTAGCGAACAGACTCTTCCTTTTATGATTATATAATGCCCATTATTATTCCTGATAACATTCCTTGTTCTGAAGTCCTTGTCTAATAAGTGGCCAATCCCACTTTCTTTTGATAAGTGTTTGCATATAATGTCTTTTCCCCTCCTTTCAGTGCAGCCTGTCTAAATCTTTATTTTTTAACATGAGTTTCTTGTTGACAGCGTATAGTTTGTCTTTGATTTTTTTTTAATCCCATCTGAAAATCTTTGTTTTTTTAAATAGAGGTGTTTATGCCATTTATTTTTAAATTATTAACTGCTTTGTCTCCTTTGGTTTTTGTTCCTCTCTTCCCCATTTTCCTACCTCCTTTTGGAGTATTTGAATGTTTTTAGTATTCTTTTTTAATTCATGAATTAGGGTTTTATCTTTGTGTGTGGCTGTATACGTTTAATGGTTGCTCTGGAGCATTATAATTATATATACCTATTTCAGCATCTATTTAGAGTTGATATTGTAATTCTTTAAGTGTACCTTTACAACCACCTAAATTAACCTTGATTCTTTCTCAATTTTAT